CCTTTTTTTTTTTTTTTTTTTTAAGCTTGATTCCTAGAGGTCTACCCTTTACCTGGCTTCTTGGTCAGCTAGCAATTTGGGCAGAGGTTGCCCATGTACCTTGAATCCTTGAGACTCTTTGCTGATGTATCTTTATGCAGATTGGGTGAGGTAACAGCACACAGTCAGCTCTGGTGGTTCCTCCCTTGGGCTCTCTGGTTTTTCTTTGCATGTTCTGGAGTCTCCTGGTCAGCCAGCAAGCTGTGGGCAAGTTCAGAAGCCCTTCCGTGACTCTCCCATTCCCAGGGTATTGTCTGCAACTCACCCTGGCCAAGACCCCAGCCTCAAACTAACCAAACTGCATGTTTCCCTCTTAGTTACCTGCTGAGTCCACTACTTATATTGCTTCACCTCTGCTTGAGATTGAGCTGTCTTATTTGGCCACAGGACTGGTTTTCACAGGCATCCCTTCCCTGACAGAACTCCCATGTCTGGGAATGGGGACCCTGAAGAGTCCCAAGTAAGGAGGCCTGACTGCTGCTCTTACCTGAAGTTCCAGCCAATTTACCTGAATATACACTGCTGAGTATTCTTTCGAGACTGATTTCTAGAGCCTCGATATGGTTGCTTTCGACAGTTGTGTTCAATTTCATACTTGATTTGAGGGAGGCACATCACCAACCTGTTTTCACTTCATCTTAAGCCATAGGCCCTTTCAATTCCATTATGGAGTCATGTATTAAACAGCATGGGGGACCAGCACTTGGCGTAATGGCTATGTTGCTGGACTCCCATGTAGTCGACCGCGGTTCTGGTCTCAGACCTGGCGGCTTAAACTCACGCAGGGTGTATGTGCATGCGTGCACATCCTGAGAGGAGAATGGAGGAGAAGGGATTAAAGCGTGGCCATCCCCCCTAGGGGTGATTTCTCGCTTTCTGTCTCTCTGTCTCTGTCTTTCTGGCAAGTGCACGTGCCCTATAGCAAAGACCTCTCCAAAAAAAAAAAAAAAAAAGAGCAGCATGAACCTAGTGGAGCTTAGTCAAATAGTGGCTTTTTTTTCTCCTGGGTTCCAGCTCCCTCTCTTTGTCTCTGCAGTCATTACCAGCCCCCTTCTCCCTCAGTCAGGCATAGGATACATTTAAAGGGGCTGCAGCCTCCATGGTCACCCACCTGGAGAATGAAGCACACCTCTTTTCTCTCTCTGCAGGCTTCTTCCGGCCCAGTCTCTTAGGTTCTTCCTTTCTCTCATAAGAAAGATCCTGGTTGGGGCCAGCAGGTAGCGTAGGGTTTACATTGTTGGACTCCCATATGACCAACTGTGGTTCGAATTTGAGACTCGGTGGCTTAAAAATTACACTGGGTGCATGTGTGTTCATGCCCAAGATCCCAGGAGAATGGAGGAGAAGAGATTGCAGCATGGCTGTCCCTCTGGAGGGTGATTTCTTACTTTCTCGCACACTCTCTTTCTCTGGCAAGTGCACACCCTGAGGAAAGAATCTTTAGGGAGGACCCTAGTCAACTCAGGATGTCAGGGCAAGCCCTATTTCTTATCTTCGTACTGCTCAATAGAGTCACTGATTTTAATTTAATTCACATTATTTTTTGTTTTACTAAATAGGTACCCTTTCTTTTCTTTCAGGCCGAACAAGCTCCAAATACTTGTGAATGTCATGTATGTAAACAAGAAGCTTCTGGACTGACAGCATCAGCAATGACAGCTGCAGCTCTTCCTCCTGGCCATCAGTTCATGAGCCCAGAAAAGCCTACCCACCCCGCACTGCACCTTTATCCTCACATTCACGGACATGTGCCTTTGCACACCGTCCCACACCTGCCTCGCCCTCTTATCCATCCCACCTTGTATACAGCACCCCCCTTTACACACAGTAAGGTAAGTTGGGGAGAAAGGCCTAAAAGCTCACTCATCACTAATGTCTTACAAAAGTATACATTGAAACAAGCAGAAGTCTATAATAATTAGCAACTTGCATAGTACAGCATTTGCTCTTAATAGGAAAGCCTGCGAAATTCCTTTTACTGTAATCTCTTCAGCACTTGTAATTTAAAACCTTTACAATGGTAAAAAACAATCACAAAGATCATGATTTATTCATTCGGAAATAACTAGAATGTGCAGTGTTTTTCAAATGATTTTGCTGACAGATTAAACTCAGCAGTGCTTCTACTTGTGTCCAGTTATCTACTGACAACATTACAAGGCCTGGCTCATTTTCTTAATGTGATGGGTAAAGTAATTTTTAATGTAGCAAGAGTTCTCTAACATTGGCTGGATTTCACAGGGTCTAAGATGATTATGCTTTCTTACCATGAAAACTAAGGCTTTGTAAGAAGTACACAAACCTAAAGGAAGAATTCTATGTATAATGCTATAGAACATTATAATGTCCTGCAGTTATGGAAAGCTAACCAGGAGGTAGATGGAGGAGGCCTGCAAGAGACCATATGTGTTAAGAGCTCATTCAGGAAATATGGGGTAGGATCTAGAAAACAGTTAATTTTCATGCACTTCTTAGAGAACCTTGTGCATATATTTAGTAAGTTAGACTTTGCAGAGGAAATGTTTAAGTTGGTTTCATTCTTAGTACTTTAGATAGCTTTGCCTCTCTAGCTGTTTTGAACATATTTATCATAATTCTGGTTGTTTTTTATTTTTCTTCATACCAGTTATTATTCTGGTTCAGGATTAGTTCTGATCCATCAAAAAAAAGTGTTTTCTCCAAATTCTACCATTTCACTCTTTAGAATATTGCTTCTCAACTGGGAAAAAAAAGGGAGGACTTGATGTAGAAGGGGCTTTTATAAATTATATGCAATGTGTTTCCCCTGGGATTCGTCGTAAAGTGGAGTATGTGTGTGTTTGCTAGGGAGGGACATAGATGTGAGAACTGAGATTAACAATCGCAGGTTCTGAATAGAGTATAAAGGTTTGGATATTCTATTATAACAAGTACTTGGCACCTACCCAAACTCGTGCTTAAATTTTCTTAGATCGAATGTTAACTCAATTTGAACATTTAATGATGTCTTCATTAATAAGATGTTTTTCAGTAGCATTTTTCAGCTATATAAAAGCAAGGCTATTTTAATTGTCTTCCTGGTTCATAGTCTGTTTTCCTCTGGGTGAATGTGCAAGATTAGGAGGCAGTTTATCTGAATAGAGCTCTATTTCCTGGTCCTGAGAAATGATTATACAGTGTATTTTTACCTATTTTGAGAATCATAAAAATACTCAGTTAAAGTAGTAAAATTGATTATTCCCAAAGCCTAGAGAGAACTGTAATTAAAAATTGATTCTTTTCCCTAACTTTTGGCCTCTTTCTCAGGAAATTATAAGTAAGAGGAAAACAAAAACAGGTTTGGTTTGGTTTGGTTTGAGGACTATCATTTGTGTTTAATATCTATTCCTTTTTTTCGTAGAGAAATTTTTGCTATAGGGAGCATGTACTTACTGGAGAGACACAGAGACACAAAGCAATAACCCCCACCCCCCACCCCCCCCAGGAGAATGGCCACATTATAATCCTTTCTCTTCCATTCTCCTCTCAGGACTTTGGGCATGCACATAAATGTGCCTGGCATGAATTTTAAGCTCCCAGGTCCAGGACTTGAACCACAGTCAACTACATGGGAGTCCAGAAATGTAACCATTGTGCTATGTGCTGGTCCCTAGTAGCTATTCCTTTGATACCTGTTATACTTTCATTCTGTAGCTGGATGTAAAAGCTTCATGGATATAAAAGCAAATTACAGAGGTCAAGCCATATGTAGTAGAGATCATGTAGAAACAGGAATTTATAATTAAGCCTTATTGCAACCATGTTAGCAAAGTCAAGACTATTCACTGATTATTTTAAAATGTTTTCATTGGAAACCATTTTTATTTGGAAAAATAAGGTATGTTGACAAAATGTCATTTGTACCTGATAATGGAAATGTTCTGAATTGTTACTTACCTGGTCTTGCAAAAGTAGTTTCTGTTGAGTTAGTGTGACTTAGCTGAATTATGTGGATACGTCTATACTTAAGTGCATAATACATTAATAACCCCATAGGAATTGGCAAAAGCACCTTCCCAGAGAATGAACAAGCTATATTAGCATGGCACAAATTTGTCTTCAATTACATCAGAATAAGTTTCTTAGACACACTAGGAGGATTTTTCAGTGATGCTCCAAATGTAGTTAGAAGACAGAAAGTGGGTGCTGAATGTGAGGGCAGCTGTTTGCACTGAGGCTCTTCTGACTTGTCTCATGTTGCATTCATTTCTGCATTATTAACAACTTTGGGAATTTTTGCTATGATGAAATCACAGTGGTTGCCTTGAAGACAGTATGTCATTGTAGTTGTAATTCTCCTTTTTTTTCTTTTTTCTTTTCTTTTCTTTTTTTTCTTTTTAATATAAGAGGTTTATTTAGTTCATGTTGCTGGAGGCTAAAGGTCCAAGAGTATGGTACTGTTGTCCGCTTGGCTTCTGGTCATAATTCTTGCTTTTAATTCCTACTTTGGCTATCATGGGTAAATATTCCCTAAAATATTTAGGATGAGAACTGTGAAAAATTAATCTTGAAATTAAAAACAACTTGAAGAGTATGCATGCCTTAAAAAACAATACTGTTGGTGCCAGCAGGTGGCATAGTCATTAAGGCACTAGACTCCCACGTGGTTGACCATGGTTTGAGTTCCAAACCTAGTGCTTGAAACTCACACCAGGCACATGTGCATGCATGCCCAAAATCCCAAGAGGAGAATAGAGAAGTGATTGCAGCTTGGCCATCCCCCCTCAGGGGTGATTTCTCACTTTCTGATTCTATCTCTCTGGGAAGTACATGCACCCTATAGCAAAAATCTCTCAAAAACAAAACAGTACCGTAGCTCATAAAGATATACTTTGATTATGTGTAAACCAGGAATCCTAATAAAAAATAACTTAAAGAGTAAAAACAACTTGTGGGACCAGCAGATGGCATAATGGCTATGTCACTGGATTCCCATGTGGTCAACTGCAGTTCGAGTCCCAGACTGGTGGCTTAAATTCACACTGGGCGTGTGTGCGTGCATGCCCAAGATCCCAAGAGGAGAATGGAGGAGAAGGAATTGCGGCATGGCCTTCCCCCCTGGAGGTGATTTCTTGCTTTCTGTCTCTCTCTGTCTTTCTGGCAAGTGCACACATGTAAAAACCTCTCCAAAAAAAAAAAAAGATTAAAAACAATTTGAAGGCTGATTTCTGTGTTGAGATGTCTTCATGCCAATGATATGTTTAAATCTGTATGTTAAGATTTAAGTTATTTAAAAGATCAAAGTACTTGCAGAGGAAAATACAATTATGAAATACTAGAACAGAAGTAACTATCAGGCCCAGATAATTTAATTCTCAAATAATTGGGAATTTCTCAAATATCTTCTGTTAATTGATTTCTACTTTAATTGTATTATGGTTTATGATTTCTAATCTTTTGAATTTATTAAGATGTGTTTATGGCTCTGAATGTGGTCTGTCATATGAATGTTCCATATAAGCCTTGGAAAAATATGTATTATGCTGTTGTTGGATGAAATAGTCTAGATATCTGTTATGTCTTGTTGATTGATGGTGTTGTTAAGTGCAACTGTGTTCTGATTTTCTGCCTGCTGGGCTCTATCCATTTCTGATAAAGGGGTTGTAGAAGACTCTAGTTACCATAATTCATTCATCTGTTTCTCCTTGCAGTTCTATCAGTTTGGGACTCAGAGTTTTACACTCTGTTGTTGGATGCATACAGGTTAAGGTTTTATTATTACGTGTTCTTGGAATCTTTCCCCATGTAATGTCCTGGTATTATCTCTGGTGACTTTTCTTGCTCCGAAGTCTGGTCTCTCTGAAATTAATTTAACTCCTCTTGCCTGCTTTTAATTAGTATTATGATCATACGTCTTTCTCCATCCATTTACTTTTTTTTTAGTTGTAGTAAAATACACCTAACATGATTTGTCTTCTTACCCAGTTTTAAGTAGAGAGCTCATTGATATTAAATACCACCATAATGTACAACCACCAGCATCATCCTTCTTCATAACTTGTCTTTTGGAGATTTTTACTTTAGGGCACATGCATTTGCTGAAAAGAGAGAAAACTAGAAATCACCCCATGGGGAGATGGTCATACCATGATCCCTTCTCCTCCATTCTTCTCTTGGGATTTGAGGCACTCACACACACACACACACACACACACACACACACACACACATGCCTGTTCTGAGTTTCAAGTTGCCAGGTCTAGAACTTGAACCATGTTGAGCCATGTGGGAGTCTAGCACCTCAAACACCTTCCCCTCTGTTGATCTCCTCAGTAACTCTTTTCGGCTTATAAAACTGAAACTTTTGACCCATTCAACAATAACTCCCTACTTCCCCTTTCTCCCAGTCTCTAACAACCACTATTCTGCTTTCTGTCTCTAGGATTGTGACTCCTCTTAAGTACCTAATATGGGAGAACTTCATAAAGCTTTTGGAAAATGTAATTAAAGGGTAAAAAAAAAAAAAAAAAAATTTACTCCTCAACATAATTCATCAAGTTTAAGACTTTGGAAACAATACTACTAGTCATTTAGTCCATCCCTAATAAACTGAAGGCCCTTAGAATTTAATCATATCAATATAGTCCTTTTTATTATTTTATTTCTTTATTTTTAGGTTTGCTTTAGGGCACATGTACTAAACAGAAAAAGAGAGAGAGAAACTGAGAAAGCAAGCCTCCAGGTCAGGCTTAAACTGTGGTTGTCCACGTGGAAGTCCAGCACCTTAACCACCATGACACCTGTTGGCCCCACAGTCCTTTTTATTATTAACAAAGAAGAGAGAGTACATTTGAAGATTTAATTTTATTTATTT